AGTTCAATATATCACCCCTTACATAATACACAGCTCAATATACCACTCTTTACATAATACACAGTTCAATATACCACTCCTTACATAGTACAGACACAGTTCAATATACCACTCCTTACATAGTACAGACACAGTTCAATATACCACTCCTTACATAGCACAGACACAGTTCAATATACCACTCCTTACATAGCACAGACACAGTTCAATATACCACTCCTTACATAGTACAGACACAGTTCAATATACCACCCTTACATAGTACAGACACAGTTCAATATACCACTCCTTACATAGTACAGACACAGTTCAATATACCACTCCTTACATAGTACAGACACAGTTCAATATACCACTCCTTACATAGTACAGACACAGTTCAATATACCACTCCTTACATAGTACAGACACAGTTCAATATACACAGTTCAATACACCAGTTCAGACATAGTTCAATATACCACTCCTTACATAGTACAGACACTTCAATATACCATCCCTTACATAGTACAGACACAGTTCAATATACCACTCCTTACATAGTACAGACACAGTTCAATATACCACTCCTTACATAGCACAGACAGTTCAATATACCACTCCTTACATAGTACAGACACAGTTCAATATACCACTCCTTACATAGTACAGACACAGTTCAATATACCACTCCTTACATAGCACAGGCACAGTTCAATATACCACCCCTTACATAGTACAGACACAGTTCAATATACCACTCTTACATAGACCACTCCTTACATAGTACAGACACAATTCAATATACCACTCCTTACATAGTACAGGCACAGTTCAATATACCACTCCTTACATAGCACAGACACAGTTCAATATACCACCCCTTTTAACATCATATACACCACTTGAACATAATCCCAGAACCAAGCTGATTGATTTCAGTGAAATGTACACTCTCATTAGATGTAAATCAAACAGACACATCATCCAGGGAATCAGACACACCTGTTTTGTATGCATGGGATCGACAATGTCGATGAGCTTCGCTGATGTGAATTTCAAGCCTGATGTGCTAGAGGTGTTGAATTTTGGTTAGAAGGACTGGTGTTCATCAAGGGACACGACTCTCCATATACATTGATTTTCCCTCCTGCCAGTAATCTGATTTCCACATGACTAAGAGCCAACAAACTTGCTTCTAAGTGTGCAAAGTGAAAGCAAATACTGATGCTAATCTCTCCTACATCAGCATTCTGCTGCTGGCTGGGACTACTACAATGACTTTAAACAGCCACTGTTTCACCTGTCATAGATCACTTATTATCAATTTCATTTCAAAAGTCTCCATTTGCCATCTGATGACTAAATGTTCAAGTTTATTTGCTCCCAAAATACTTGGTCACCAACAGTGAATTGAATCCTTGATTGAATTGAATATATCTGACTGGAAAAGTAAACTGTTATTACAAATACAGAGAAATCAATCAAAGTTTGAGATGAAAATAAAATATTTCTCTTTGAAAGACAATTATTACCAAATACATTTCATCCATGCTAGAACAAGGGTAAATTCTAACGTTTTCCTCACTTCAAATCTCCACCAATGTCATATTTTTCAAATTATTATATGAACTAAACTGATATTGATAACCCATCACTTTGTTAATTGATGAGATTGACTTACCAGTCCTTTTGTTCTTCGACATCACTGAATCATGATGCAGTTACCATGGAAACTAGAGATATCCATGATGACAAAACAAATGATGATGTTTGTCCACTGCAAACAGAACAGGAACAGATTCCCCCCCTGAGATCAACCAACATTAATAATGCATCTGTGAAGATAAACATGACCCCAATTACAATAATTGTTCTGACACTACAGAAACAAACAAGACAACAAGTGTTCCTGTTTGTTCCAAGATGTGAAATCTAAGGCCACATTTGTCACATCCATGCATTCCAGATCACAACTAGATAGTTTGAGCATGTGGATAGAAGATTTGTTGTTGGGTTCAAACTTTCTTTCTTTTGGGTCTGGTTCGGTTGACCTGTTCAGAAATATGAGATACTGCTAGTCTTGAGTGAGTGAGTGAGTATGGTATTACGCTGTTTTTAGCAATATTGTAAGTGCTTGAAGTGCTTGATGAAGTACTTTACTGACATGCATTTGTTTCCATACAATGGGAATTTGCTGTGGCCACAGAATATATACACTTTATGTTTATATGGTCACCAGTTACTTTTTGTTTGATTTTTGTACATTTCTGGTGCATCGAAGCAGAAGTGCAATATTTTAAATGCATATTTTAGACAACTGAATAGCACAGCATAATGTTTATCATCAATAGTTATATTGGTTTTAAGAAGTAGAACAGAGTTTTCAGAAGTTCAGTGGTCAGTGGTTGTCAGTCAGCACACAGCCATGTTACAGACTTCACACAACAGTATTACTTCAAGAAAGAATAGATTTCCACAGATTTTAAAAATACCCAGCAGTTATGTTCCTAAACTTCCTGTTTCACCTGTATCGTCCCAGCTGTTGAGGTGTATAACTCACTCTTAATACCAATCTGTCTTCACACTCTATACACACATATGCCTATCAAAGCATGATAAAGATACTCATTGTAGCCTACCAGCATATTGTATTCCAGCTCATTAGACGCTCAATGTCCACTATTTCTCACATGCGATATGGCACTCAAGCCAAAAATCAATGCATTTTGTCATATAAATTGTCCTGAAATGATATCCACTTGAATTATTGAGACTGGGATACCAAACCTATCAAATCAATTTCCTTTCATATGAACAAGAATTGATTTAAGTCTATTTCATGTGACCCCCACAGAGAAATCAACGACATTAACCTTAAAATGGCACTGCAATCTACATGCCACTGTGCTTATCAAAATATTGTCTTTGGCAGAACGACTATCGATATCTGTGCTGACTCGACCTGCCCATGTCTCCTTCATCTTCCAGTGATATTGATGATGTTGGCACAACAGTGGCTGTTTCCTAATGCAATAAACATGAGGAATTAGGAAAGTGATTGTCAGACTTTCAAATTTGGACCATAAATTCTACCTGCAATCAGAAAGAATCCTGCAAAGAGTGACATTTCATGTGCAGTCTGATGCTGAAAGAGAATGTCACAGAAACTGGTGACTTTGCCAGGTTGTAATGGTCCTCCATAGCCCAACATTAACATCTGACAGATATACAGGCTATCACAAACTACACACATTCGTATTCCAACCCAAACACTGTAGTCAAACAGTGAAACCCAAGCACAGATGACATTGATTTAGTGTGTCATACAGACCCTGAAACAAATGTATCCAAGAAAGCCTCATGCAAGTCTAGAATATGTGGCAAGTCTATATTTCCACAAGAACGTCTCTGGGCTCCTTTTCATTACATTTTATGATTATTATTCAAGAACATTTTTTTCCCTGTAAAATATGATCATTTCAGAGACTAGATGTTAGTCTAACAGTGTTTCTACACACAGTCAAACCCAAACACCTGAATCAAAGCGTCACAAAAAATTCTAAAGCACAGAGAGACCAGTCAATCCTGCACCCTCATTACTGACCCTTCAGTTGTGCAACACACCAGACAATTTAGGCTATACGGTCTATTAGCCGACCTAATGATTCTACTTGGAATATTCATTACACTCAATATATGGTACACTCAGTAATGACATTCTTTTGACTGCGCATAATACCCTATTGAACTGACATTTGGAAATGCAGGAACCTGCAGCTATATATATAACCTAGAGCTTCATGGTACATCCTTTGTCTGTACAAGTAGTACTATAGCCAGTAGGGTGGTCAGGAACCATTTCATAGGGAAATATCATATAGGAAACCCTGGCACAAATCATTGGACTGGATGAAGTGACCATGTTCAGCAGCTGGCCACACAGTCCTTGGTTCATTACCCACAGGCAACCAAGTCATCAGCCTTGGACAAAACAATGGGCTCTTTGGATATTGAAACCTTGCTCAAAAACAATACCATCAAAGAAATCTGTTCATGAATAAATATCAAAAGCAGTCAGAATATTCCACCAGACAGCAGAATGTCATCTTGCGTGAGGGTGCTGCATGAAAATATTGATCACATGGCAAATTTTCATGACATCAAAGCAATCTGGTTTGAGCAAAGAACGTTGGTCATTGGGAAGTTGGGGCCTTTGGAGGTCCGGGGAGTGAAATGTGAAAGCCCTGGACCAATCCTTTATATCTGCACTGGGGTTGAAAGCTTAACATGTCTGAGATTAATATTAGTAAGCAAATTTATGAACATTTTAGTGTTTGGAAAAAAATTGAATGTAAGGAGATGTTGATGTATTCTATGCAATGTTTACAGTTACAATAGGTGGCAGTACTTCATACTGTAGGTAAATGCAAACAATGGATACATAAAGATACTGATGATATATATGTTTAAATCTGGGGGACTGTAGCTCACCTGACCAACACAACAGCAGCAAACGTTAAACAGTCACTTTGGATACATGTAGTCAACATCATAATGTGAGCTACAAATACATTTCTCCAGCTTCATCAGCTTCATCATGCAGCTTTAGGGCAAAATTAGACTTGCACAAGTTTCTAAGGTTATAATTAATAGTTTATATGACAATTTCTAAAAAAAATATAGATGACAGACATGGATCATTAGATGCTTATCTAGACTTGCCTCTTTACAAGATAGAATTACTACACATCCATGGCTGAGCACTCGGTACAGCCTTCAAGCAAGGCTAGGGCAAAAGGTGAATAGATGGATGACAATAAAAAAAAAAAAGGAAATGGCTGCACAGGAAACAAGCATAGTTGGGGTGAGGTGAGCAATTCCTTTATAAACTTCAACTGAAACTTCAGTATTCATCATTCAAGCTGCATTCTGGCTTATTCCAACTGGTGTGCCAAAGTTGACATCCATGTATTTACAAAAGGTATGAGGCTGCAGAGGATGCACTAAACAATACGTACCCATACACAGGGTCCACAACGATCCCACCTGGTTTGTCCAGGCCAAAGCCAATCAAAATCCTGCGGCCACTTCAGTCGTAGTTGGCAACTTCAATGGTTTGTTTCTGTGCATCAGTCCAGTAGACATGATTTGAGAGCCAGTCCACAGACAGTCCGTTACATTCCTCCACATCTGCAGCATACACAAGGGGAAATCATTGTAAGGTTAATCAAACTGGGCGTCCCATCGATTAAAGGATGAACTGCTTGCAATGTCAAAACATCAGAAACATGTTAACATAGACTAAGCTGAGATAGATACTCTATCAGTGTGATGCTAGAGCTATCTGAATATTCTCATAACAAAGACGACGAATGACCACTATGTCCAGTTGGATATTCACACAAACACTGAACACTTCCTGCATCTGTTCTGAATTAAGATTGAATGTAATTCCAGTGCCATGATCTGTGTGAAAGAGTTCACACAATTAGGGAGATAGTTATATTCTGTATCTACCAATGTACAGTTCCAGCAACTGGCGATATGAGGTATTTACTCCATTTATCTTCAGACACTGATGTCCAGAGGAACTTCCCAGTGACAGCAATCAACAAGGTATCTTTATACATGGAAATTCTGCTTGGGCAGAATCTACAGTACCATCACGAAGAACATCTTGTAACTCACTGAATATCATGTCACACCTCACATCATAGTTTTCAAATAAATGTAGATTGTGAACACATGGCTAGTTCTGTGGTAAAACTGAATTTCTTCCTCTGTATCTCAGAAGACTGTCAGTGAACTAGCATGTTAGGATTTTCCTTCATAACATGAATATTTAGCCCCCCCCCCAACACAACATACCCATATATCAACCCAGTACACCCCTGGAAGTTGAGTACTGAAGGAAATATCACAAACAGGAAAGGCTTATTGGCGGCGTTGCTGGTCCGAGTTATTAGATTCTTAACCAGTTTACAATATGAAGATAATGACTGACAAGTAGCAGAATGTAAATATTGTGTATTTTGAACTGTAGTCTATAATTTAGCAAAGTATGGTAGCAGTTCTTCATACTACTACTGACGTAGTGAATGCATAAGGTTTATAGTACTGTGTGTATGCATGAGTGTGTGCACATAACTGTGTGTGAGAAAGTATGTGATTGCATGCATGTGCATTATACAATTTACTGCCTTTTAATAAAAAGTGAGAGAATGTAATCACATTCTTATTGGCAGCTTCACCATAGAGTGCTGTTTCCCTGAGACAAGATTGGTATAAAATTTTAAGTGCCAACATTTGTGTGTGTGTGTGCATGCATGTTGGCTTTAATGTCTCCAGATAAGAAGCAAATATTAGAAGACAATGTATGGTTCCTCATCCTTAAACTGAAAAAAAATGACAAAACTTAAGTTCTGTGTTTGGTAAAACAGATTTTGCCATGTAAGTCAGCTCTTCTCCACTGTAAAGTCCACCACTGATAGTACAGTGCAAGTGGCCATGGGTTGTCCCGTCCCCCGTAATGCTGGTCAGTTATTGAACCTGAACAATCATACCCTCTCAGACCAAGCTGGGTCAAAATGTTCCCACTCTCATGAAGAGATTTCACTACACTGTAACCTGTAACCCGTGTTAATATATATCCCCATAAAAACTATCACTATAACACTACTTTGTTGTGAGTTTCAATACTTCTACAGAACATAAAAAACCCTTGATTTACATGGTCATAAAAATGTAGTGTTATGCTAAACTGACATTATGTGAACTATAGCCACTGTATGGCTTATTGATGAAAGATTTAATCATGTCCTCACCCCAATACTGAGCTCATATCAATCATACCTCTATCCATTACTCTATTACGTAAATTTCCATACGACACCTGTCAAGTTGAAATGCACCGTGTATATTGCCCATGTAGTGTAGTGGAGATGATTAATGTAATCAATTTCCCCACCATCAATCAGCGACCCTGTGACCCCCCTTATCCAACTCATCAGAAATTGATCTCCTTTCAAGCAGCATCTTGTTCATGGGAAGTCACTGGGGCTCCTCACTCAAAAAATGTCAGACATCCTCTCCAAATGCTCATAAAGTCAAATTTTTCACACGGCTAAATCACCCACATTGTTGACACATGGCCTTTGCATACGAGCTGAATCAAGGAGGCAAGTCCCTTCTTTCAAGCCATATCACATTCAGCATCAACAAGCAGCCAAGAGTTTAAACTGCCATGTCTGTGTCACAAGTACCAAGACTATGATAACTTAATTAACTCAATGTTTTCCTCATGCTAGAAAGTTCTAAGTGAAAAAAGCAATTTTCACAAATTAAACACAGCAGCACTTGATTTCAGAGCAATATAAATTGCTGCAAAACATATCACATGAGGAGGACATACCAGTAAATTGAAATGACCTCTCCCACTATATTTGAAGTGAAGCATGGGACACCGAACTGTGCATCTTGCTTTCTGAATGAGTGAGTGAGTGAGTGAGTTTAGTTTTACGCCACACTCACCAATATTTTCCAGCTATATGGCGGCGGTCCGTAAATAATCAGGTCTGGACCAGACAATCCAGGTATCAAAAGCATGAACATCGATCTACTCAATTGGGATATGATGACATGTGTCAACCAAGTCAGCGAGCTCGACTATCCGATCCTGTTAGTTGCCTCTTACGACAAGGATGGGTTGCTGAAGATCAATTCTAACCCGGATCTTCACGACTGAGTGAGTGAGTGAGTGAGGAAGGAAATAATCTTTTCTAAAAATTCTTTGGTATCGAGTTGTTTCTCTATTCAGGGACCTTTAAACTATTTTCTATTCAGCAGGACCTTTGGCATCAAGTTGTTTTTATATTCTGGCACCTTGACGATGCACAAACAATTCCTCTATTTAACAGGATCTTTGGCAACAAGTTGTCTGTATTCAATCACCTTGAGGATGCACAAACTTGTTCTATTTAGCAGGATCTTTGGCATCAAGTTATTTCTCTATTCTGGCACCTTGAGGATGCCCAAACTATTGTTCTATTTAGCAGGATCTTTGGCATCAAGTTATTTATCTATTCTTGAGGATGCCCAAACTATTGTTCTATTTAGTAGGATCTTTGGCATCAAGTTATTTATCTATTCTTGAGGATGCCCAAACTATTGTTCTATTTAGCAGGATCTTTGGCATCAAGTTATTTATCTATTCTGTCACCTAGAGGATGCACAAGCTATTGTTCTATTTAGCAGGATCTTTGGCATCAAGTTATTTATCTATTCTTGGGATCCCAAACTGTTGTTCTATTTAGTAGGATCTTTGGCATCAAGTTATTTATCTATTCTTGAGGATGCCCAAACTATTGTTCTATTTAGCAGGATCTTTGGCATCAAGTTATTTATCTATTCTTGTCACCAAGGGATGCCCAAACTATTGTTCTATTGGCAGGATCTTTGGCATCAAGTTATTTATCTATTCTTGAGGATGCCCAAACTATTGTTCTATTTAGTAGGATCTTTGGCATCAAGTCTTTGGCATTTATTTATCTATTCTTGAGGATGCCCAAACTATTGTTCTATTTAGCAGGATCTTTGGCATCAAGTTATTTAGTAGGATCTTTGGCATCAGGATCTTTGGCATCAAGTTATTTATCTATTCTTGAGGATGCCCAAACTATTGTTCTATTTAGCAGGATCTTTGGCATCAAGTTATTTATCTATTCTGTCACCTAGAGGATGCACAAGCTATTGTTCTATTTAGCAGGATCTTTGGCATCAAGTTATTTATCTATTCTTGAGGATGCCCAAACTATTGTTCTATTTAGTAGGATCTTTGGCATCAAGTTATTTATCTATTCTGTGAGGATGCCATCAAACTATTGTTCTATTTCTCTAGTAGGGATGCTTTGGCATCAAGGATCTATTTTTATCTATTCTGTCACCTAGAGGATGCACAAGCTATTGTTCTATTTAGTAGGATCTTTGGCATCAAGTTATTTATCTATTCTTGAGGATGCCCAAACTATTGTTCTATTTAGCAGGATCTTTGGCATCAAGCTATTTCTCTATTCTGTCACCTTGAGGATGCACAAACTATTGTTCTATTTAGTAGGATCTTTGGCATCAAGTTATTTATCTATTCTGTCACCTAGAGGATGCACAAGCTATTGTTCTATTTAGTAGGATCTTTGGCATCAAGTTATTTATCTATTCTTGAGGATGCCCAAACTATTGTTCTATTTAGTAGGATCTTTGGCATCAAGCTATTTCTCTATTCTGTCACCTTGAGGATGCCCAAACTATTGTTCTATTTAGTAGGATCTTTGGCATCAAGTTATTTATATCTATTCCTTGAGGATGCCCAAACTATTGTTCTATTTAGTAGGATCTTTGGCATCAAGCTATTTCTCTCTATTCTATTCCTTGAGGATGCCCAAACTATTGTTCTATTTAGTAGGATCTTTGGCATCAAGTTATTTCTCTATTCTGGCACCTTGAGGATGCCCAAACTATTGTTCTATTTAGTAGGATCTTTGGCATCAAGTTATTTCTCTATTCTGTCACCTTGAGGATGCCCAAACTATTGTTCTATTTAGTAGGATCTTTGGCATCAAGTTATTTCTCTATTCTGTCACCTTGAGGATGCACAAACTATTGTTCTATTTAGTAGGATCTTTGGCATCAAGTTATTTATCTATTCTTGAGGATGCCCAAACTATTGTTCTATTTAGTAGGATCTTTGGCATCAAGTTATTTCTCTATTCTGTCACCTTGAGGATGCACAAACTATTGTTCTATTTAGTAGGATCTTTGGCATCAAGTTATTTCTCTATTCTTGAGGATGCCCAAACTATTGTTCTATTTAGTAGGATCTTTGGCATCAAGCTATTTCTCTATTCTGTCACCTTGAGGATGCACAAACTATTGTTGTATTTAGTAGGATCTTTGGCATCAAGTTATTTATCTATTCTTGAGGATGCCCAAACTATTGTTCTATTTAGTAGGATCTTTGGCATCAAGTTATTTATCTATTCTGGCACCTTGACGATGCCCAAACTATTGTTCTATTTAGTAGGATCTTTGGCATCAAGTTATTTCTCTATTCTGTCACCTTGAGGATGCACAAACTATTGTTCTATTTAGTAGGATCTTTGGCATCAAGTTATTTCTCTATTCTTGAGGATGCACAA